GGATGGATTTGCCCGGGACCCTTTTCACTCTGTGAGTGCTCACCCCTTATGCCCTTCCTTTATTCTGTTATGTTAACACTCACAGCAGTTTATGTATAACTAATTCTTTCAGCATCTGTTGGGCACCACGTCATGCCTGAAGAGAAAAAGGATTGATACCTGATCACCCGCAACAGGTTGAGGTTCAGGCGGGAGACAGACATTGAGATGAATGAGTCTCAAACCTGCGATATTGGGGAGCTTTCACAAACGCTTCGATCCCACTCCAAACCAACCGAGTCATCCGGGACTACACGTATGCAGCACCATGCCCAGCTCATCTTATTTTTGTGTGTTTTTTTGGAGAGATGGGGTCTTGCTATGTTGCCTAATTGTCCCACCTTGGCCTCTCAAAGTGCTGGAAGTACAGGTGTGAGCCGCCGTGCCCAGCCTGGGGAAGTGCTACTTGTGAAAAGTAATTCCCAAAGTGAGTTTAATCTATAACCAGGGTTTAGAAATACTGCTGTGGAAAAATAACTAAGCTTCACTAAGTGGCGCTATTAGGAGTGCCAAGGGGGTGGTGATTAATAAGTGAGCCGGAACCCAGGCAGGTGCAGGGAGAGACGGCATCTGAGAGTGACTAAGAGGGGGCCAAACACGGGGTGGGGAAGAAGATTCCAGACCAAGTGACCAGGGAGGTCAGAGAATGGCTTTGGGGAGGCAGAAAGTGAAGTTTCCACCACTGAAGAGCTCTAGGGGCCAGGATCTGTGGCTCATGCCTGTAATCCCAGATCTCTGAGAGGTCGAGGCAGGTGGATCACCTGAGGTCAGGAGTTTGAGACCAGCCAGGGCAACGCGGCGAAACCCCATCTCTACTAAAAACAAATTGGCCAAGTGTGGCGGTGGGCACCTGTAATCCCAGCTACTTGAGAGGCTGAGGCAGCAGAATCGCTTGAACCCTTGGGGGCAGAGGTTGCCATGAGCTGAGATTGCATCATTGCACTCCATCCTGGAAGACAGAGTAAGACTCTGTCTTGGGGAAAAAAAAAAAATCTTTAGGACCAATCCCTGGGGATACGGTCACCTAACTCATTCTGGACCTGTGGGGATAGTGACTTGAGATGCGTGGATAGCATGGGCCCGGAACTCGGAGGAGCGAGGCTGTTTGCCCCCGGAGGCCCAGCTTGACTGCCCTCAGGTTAATGGCTCTTTCCAGCACCAAAATGGCACGTCCCAGGTCTGTACCTACCCACAGCCGTCAGTTCCGGCTCAGGTTTGCCGTTTCAGCGCTCAGCGTGGTCATTCTTTCACAGGAAGGTCTCGTTTGCCGCTCCCACTCCCTCATTCCCCCCCCCTCCAGTTCTTTTTCACATAGGGGGCCAATGATTCCAAGATTTCTTTGGAAAAAACGGTGGAGGGCGGAATGGAGGATGGGTGTTTATGAGTCTGTGTGTGGGTGAGGGTGTGGCTGGGGTGCGGTCTGCAGCATTCTTTTGCAAACCCACAATTTCAAGTCTTGGGGTTGGCATCCTACCTCTGCCTCCTCCTCATCCATCCCCTCCCACCAGCACTGTGGAGCTGTGAGGGTCAGGGGTAGATCCTGGTTACCTGAGGCTCATCCCCAACAATTTCATTCCCCTTGGACACTCACTAGTTTGGTGACATGCACTGACCTCAGGCCTAAGCCGCTCACCTCATGGACTCCCCCACCCGCATGACTGGCCAGGAGTGGACGCGTGACCTAGCCAGTCCATCACCACGAAGTCTCTCCTGCTTGGATGTGAAGGACGAAGCTTGTAGGCCCTGGACTTTTCAGCAGTTATTTCACTTTTGCACTCACTGGGATGGGCACCAACACATTTCATGATCGTTTAATCAGTCTATGGTCGATTATTTCAAAGATAATCCCCTATAAATTCTCTGCATGATAATCCCTCATAAGGATTAAGAGTTCTCATAATCCCTCATAAGGATCCCCGTCGGTACATGGGATCCTCCCACCATGAAGTGAAATATGTGTCCTTATCCCTTGAATCTAGGCTGGACTCGGACTGTATTTTCCCCAAAAGAACATGGTAGAAGTCTATTCTAAGACTTCCAAACCGGGCCTTACAGGCCTTATAGCGTCCGCATGGACCCTCCTGGGCTGCCATGTGAAAAAGCTCGGGCTAGAGCACTGATTGATGAGAAGCCACAGAGCAAGACAGCAAGGCCAGCCTGCCCCCAGGCTTTGTCATCCCAGCTGAGATACCAGCTATGTGGCTAGAGCCACAGGAACCTTCCAGCCCCAGCAGAGCCCCCAGAAGAATGCAGCTGCAGGCCAATCCCAGCCAACACCAGGTGGAGCAGAAGCACCATCTTGTCGATTCCATGGGGTCCCAAGAAATGGAAACTCGCTGTTGTCTCAGCTCCTGCACTCACGGTCATTCATCACACAGCCAAAAATAACAGACTCACAGGACGTCTTACTCTGCTCAGGCTGCTATAACAAAATCCCTTAGATGGCAAGGCATACACATGAAGTTTGCTTCCCTCAGTTCTGAAGGCTGAGAAATCCAAGATCAAGGTGCCAGCAGATCTGGCATCTGAGAAAAGCCCTTTGCTCACAGATGGCCTCCTCTAAGGGTCTTCACAGGGCGGAAGGGGCAAGCAGGCTCCCGAAAACCTCCGTTTTAAAGGGCACTAATCCCATTCCTAATCACCTCCCAAGGCCTTCACCTCTTACTATTTGGGATTAGGAATTAGGGATTTGGGATTAGGTTTCCACATGTGAATTTGGGGGGGTCACTTTCAGACCATCGCATAGGGTGAATTGGACTTTGTTTTTTAATAGTCCTGACTTTTTTTTTTTTCCCCACAGATTTACAGAGAAGATGCTATGTTAGAAACAGAAAATCCAACTCCTGTGGTTTGAATGAAGATGTTGTCTCTCATAGCAGGAAATTCCAGGTGAGGGCAGCAGGATTTGGGGGAATTGCCTGATCGTATCACTGAGGACTCCGGCTCTTCTCATCTTCCCAGGCAGCCATCCCCAGGGGGAAGAGGCTTTTCTGGCCCCCTTCTCTAGAGGGTGCAAAGGGCTGCGGAGTACCAGGCATTGCATCCAGACAGGGAATGCAACGTCTGCCAGGGAAAAGGGAGCATTTCCTCTTTATGTTCTTGTAAGACAGAGAAAAACCTTTGCCAGACTTCCCCCAGCAGACTTCCTCTTGGGACTCACTGACTTGAGCTTGTTTGAAGCCAATCATTGGAAAGAGAAATCGAGTTACCAACAATTTCTCAAAAGAGAGAGAGTTTACCCTTAGGCACAGAGAGGGTGGATACCTGAACTAGCAAGGATAGAGACGGCATGGTGGCCACACTGGCAACCAAGGGTATTTACTACGGGACAAAAACAATTCGCATTTACTGCTGAACAAGCAGACACTCCCGACAGGCAGCCTTGATCTAGCGCCTCATACCTCCTCTGGCTGCGCCTGGACCCCAAGCCCCCAGTCACAGTTTTCAAGGAGGAAGCTTAGTCAAAATCTGGCTCCAGCAGTCAGGGGTCCCGCAGGAAACAGGAGGTGTTCTTGGGAGGGGATGTGGAAGCCAGTTTGATGACCCGACGGTTTGCTGTGGTGCGGTCATGGTTCCAGGACCCTTCCAAGGGGGCCGTTATTCAGGGACCAGCAACAGTGGCAGCCGACGGCCTGTCTCGCCTTAAAAGGCGTGGGGGTGGGGAGATGTTCTGTTCCTAGAGCCTGGATGCGTTATGCAGTGGAACAGGCACCCAGGAAGAATGGCAGCCAGAGGGACACCAGCACTGGCTGGTGTGGGGACAGGCCGGGAAGGAGGCGAGGAGGGTCCCTGCCTCTCTCCCACCTGGTCTGCAGCGGGTGCCTCTGTGGGTGAGGTCCACCGAGGGGCCACGTGCTTCCTGAGACAGGGCAGGTGGAGCAGGCCAGGGAGCAGGCTGGAATGGGAAATGGAGAGTCAGTCGGTGCTTTGGCCGACCAGAAATGGGAGCCACGTTTAGTCACTGTGACTACTGTTCCCTAGTACTAGTACTCATTGCTATTCGTCTAAAACGTGGCCCCTACCCTTTCTTTTCCACAAGCACTGGAGAGAACAGTCACGGTCAACTGCATTCCTGAGACCCAGGGGTGACAGGGGTCTCCACGGGCCACAAGAGGTGTTGGCTGCCTGGTGTCATCAGTGACATCTGGGGCAGCAAGACGGGAGGCTGGAAACCAAGGGTCTCAGTTCAGTCGAGGCCGACGACCGGCTTGAGAACGCAGTGCTCATCCCTGGCTGCGCGCACGGGCCGCGGGGGAACAGGGGCCCCTCTGGGGCTGAGCGGAGCTGTGTGGCACCGAGTTCTCAGCCAGCAGCGCTGGGACACGCCACCAGGAACGGCAGACCAGCGAAGCGGCGCCCCTCTCCGCGGGTCACCCACCCCTCAGGCCACCAGAGTGCCTTCTGCTGTCCCAGCTCTGGGGCCCGAGGGCCAGAGGCCAGGCCCGGGAACCACCCGGGTTCGGAGCCAGGGGCTTCCCGTCGCAGCTCGCCTCACCCTGAGGCCGGCCGGGGGCAGCCACCTGAGGAGCCCCTGGGTCTCCACCTGCAGAGCAGGAGACGCCTGCGGGAGGGCGGCGCCACGTTCCGGGGCGAGACCCAGCCTCGGCTCAGGGGACCTCCCCCCACCTTCCCGCTCCCGCGCCCCCCCGCCGCCCCGCGGCTTCCGCCCCGCGATCTCCCCGCCGCCTCGAGCCTTCCGGGCGGAGGATAAAAGTTTCCCTGCAGGAGCCCGGCAAGGCCGCCCCGGGACCCCGGCCGAGCCTCCGGCCCGGTCCCCGCCCGCGCGCGCCTGCGCCCCGGGAGGCGGAAGCAACAGGGAGTCCCCGCCGCGGCCGCTGCCCTCCGCCCCCAGGTCCCGCCCGGGCGAGCGCGAGGGGGCAGGGCGGGCGCGGGCGCGACGCGGTGTGGGCGCGGGGCGGGCGGGGACGGGCGCGGGGCGCATGCTCACTCGCGCCGGTGACGTGCGCGCCCGGAGCAGGGGCGGGAGCCCGCGGGGCCCGGAGGCTCAGAGGGCGGCGGGCCGAGGAGGAGGAGACGCGCCGGGAGCAGAGCGCAGGCTCCGCCGCGGTCCGGGCGCTCCGGCCGAGCCAGCCCAGCGGGCGGACCGACGGGGAGGAGGCGCCGGCGCGCGCGCGGCCCCCGGCAGCCGCCCGCGGAGCAGCCGCCGACGCGCGGGGCCGCGGACCCAGCCTTCGCCGCCCGGCCGGGCATGAGCGCGGAGGGCCCGCGGCCGCCCCCTGCACCGCCCGGCGCGCTCGGGCCGTGACCGGAGCGGGGGGCGCGGCCGCACTCGGACCCCGGAGCCCATGGGCGCGCCGAGCCGGGCGCGGGGGCGCTGAGCGGCGGAGCGGGCGCGGCCGGAGGAGCCATGGACTGCAGCCTCGTGCGGACGCTCGTGCACAGATACGTGAGTGCTCCCAGAGCGGGCGGGGACCCGGCGGGCAGGTCGGGGGGACCCGGGGTCCCGGGAGAGCTCCGAGGTCGGGGACGCCGGCCGCCCCGGGGACGACGGAGATGCTGGGGAGCGGCCCGGGGTTGACACCCTGGGGCTTCCGACGGGGTCCGAGTGGCACCGCGCGGCCCGCGTCCCGGGCCGCCACCTGCCCCCGGGCCGCAGCCGCCTCGCGCCCCCTTCCAGCGCGCGGCGCCCGGGTGGTCCCTGGGGAGTCTGGCCGGGGTTCGAGCCGTCCCAGCGGACCGGGCGCCCCGAGAGCGCCGACTTGGACCCGCCGGGGCCCGGGTCCGGGAGGAACCTTAGATGCGGCTTCCGCGCAGCCGTGCCCGCGAGGAGATTAAGGGATTGGGGGGAAGTGTCACACTTGTGCCGAGGCTGGCGGTTGTGTTCGTTCCTCAGCACCCGGGGCATTCAGAGCGGAGTGTGCAGTCGAGTTGTTTTTTACCTTAAAGTGACCGATTAGGTCCGAAGCCCGGGGTCTCCTCGGTTCCTCTGGAACCTGCCCCTTGAGTGACCAGCCGGTGGAGAGCTCCGCAGGGAAGACTCCGAAGGGGAAAAGTTGGTTTTGTTTCGGCCCGGAGGAGGGGAAACCGGCGTCGCTGGCGGTAGGTGTGAAAAGGGGTGTGTGTAGGAGAGGAAGAAGCTGTCCCGAGCACGGAGCTTCCTGCCCCCGCCTTGCACAAGACGCTTCATTGTTCCACGGCGGCTGGCGGTCAGCGGGCAGTCACAGGTTCGAGAAGTTGCCGGCCCCGGCTTTGGTACCGGAGAGGGCAGGATTATGGGAACTTGGTTCTTTCCTGGCATGGGAATGACCTCAGGCAGTCTTTCATATTTATGAGCTTTCTTTAAATAGGAGACCTTGGCCAAAGATAGGTTTCTTTTCACTGGGGGATGCCAGATCGATCAATGCTCTCCCCCGGATTTATTTACTAACCGAAAACCTCGGAGGGTCAAGCGAGCCTGAGTGCACCTCGCCTGTTTCCTGGTGTCGGGGAAGCCGTAGGAAGCTCAGCCTGCTTTACCTAAGGGGAGAGAGCTCCCCTCTGGTGATTCTGATGACTCTGGATGCTAGATCCTGAAAGGCTTAGCTGCAGAAGCCGATTGTTATCCCCCCACTGACCTCCAGCCCCCAGTTCTTGTCTCATGTTAATGTGAGTGGTAAGCATCTTGCGATACCTGCGTTTCTCCATGGTAATGTTGTAGAAGACCCGGTAACAGTGACTGTAGGTGACCTGACGTGTAAAAAAAATGCTTTACTGGGCAGGAACCTTCTGTTCCCAGTTGTGTCACTGGGAAGTGTGGGTCCCTACACAACTCATTTTCCTGGGGTGTTTCCTCCGAGGGACATGGAAGAGGGAAGGGGCCAACATTCACTTTACCTGCGCCCTCGGGGTTCCCAGTTCACTCAGTTCCCTCCTGACGTTCTGTGTGAAAAGGGAGGGTCACGTTGTAGGGCTCCTGTGCAGCCTCTCTCCGTAGAAATGGGAGCTGCATGGGCCAGCTCGGCTCCCCCTGTGGAGAAGAGTTCCTGACCCCTTCATCCTGGGGGCCGCGGAGACAGACATCCAGTTTTGGTACTCTTACTGGCTTCCTTTCTCCAGACCTTCAGCTGTTTTCTGTTACATAGATCTACATGTGTTTGGGTAGCTTACAATTTTAATTCCCCTTTGCTGTATTATTAACGCTTGTGGCATCACATTTTCTCGTAATCTAAGGGGTAAATATTCTTGAGTCAACTTTTCCATCGTATATATTATTTGATAACGTCTAGGGAACACAAGTTAGGGGATAGGATTATTTCTGTTTTTCTCAATCCACATGTTTTTTTTTTTTTCAGTGTATTCATCTGGCTGCCTCACCCGTATTTACACAGAAAACCATTCATTTCTATAATTTTAAATTCATGTCTATGGTATGAAACTAATTTGACTTTTTCCAGTAATGGTCACGATCTGTTTTCTTGTAATTTCATTATCTTCCACTGTGTAGGACTAAATTATATCTCCTTTTGTTACAGGGAAAAAAAAGAGTCTGGGATTGAATACTCAGATTTCCTTTTGCTCTCCGTATGTGACTTATTTGATAAAAAAGGATAAACAGGCCCTCTTCCCTCCCAGTGTTCACATAGAATTCCTGGGACGAAGAAAGCTTTGCGGTTCATTCTGATGTGTGAGGGTCACTACAAGATAAAAAAGTCCTCGGAAAACATTGCTGTAGGCATTTTATTGTGGGTTGACTCCAGAGAGATAGAAGAGGCAAATGAGTGAGAGAAGAGTTGCAGGGGCGTGGGGCGTTAGGCGGTGTACTCCACAATCCACAATCCGGGTTACTGGTTGTTTCCTTTAGGTGTTTGGATGGACAAGGAGCTACTTTGTACAAAGAGATACTTTGTATTTGTAAATGGTGTAGTGTTTGTATACCACGAGGCAGTGCATGTGCCCACGGGGTGGTGTATGCTCCATGGAGTGGTGTATGTGCTGCGGTTCAGCGGCGGAGAGTGTGTGTGCCGTGGGGTGGTGTGTGTATTGCGGAGTAGTGTATGTGCCGTGGGGTAGTGTATATTCTATGGGGTGCTGTATGTGCCGTGGGGTAGTGTATATTCTATGGGGTGCTGTATGTGCCGTGGGGTAGTGTTTATTCCATGGGGTGGTGTATGTGCCGTGGGGTGGTGTATGTGCCGTGGGGTGGTGTGTGTATTGTGGAGTAGTGTATGTGCCGTGGGGTAGTGTATATTCTATGGGGTGCTGTATGTGCCGTGGGGTAGTGTATATTCTATGGGGTGCTGTATGTGCCGTGGGGTAGTGTTTATTCCATGGGGTGGTGTATGTGCCGTGGGGTGGTGTATGTGCCGTGGGGTGGTGTGTGTATTGTGGAGTAGTGTATGTGCCGTGGGGTAGTGTATATTCTATGGGGTGCTGTATGTGCCGTGGGGTAGTGTATATTCCATGGGGTGGTGTATGTGCCGTGGGGTGGTGTATGTGCCATGGGTGGTGTGTGTATTGTGGAGTACTGTATGTGCCGTGGGGTAGTGTTTATTCCATGGGGTGGTGTCTGTGCTGTGGGCTGGTGTATGTCCCGTAGGTGGTGTGTGTATGTGGAATAGTGTATGTGCCGTGGGGTAGTGTTTATTCCATGGGGTGGTGTGTGTGCCGTGGGTGGTGTGTGTATGTGGAATAGTGTATGTGCCATGGGGTGGTGCATATTCCATGCGTGTGCTGTGTGGTAGTTTGACCTACATGATGTAATACTTTAAAAACATTTTTAGGTTGGGTGTGGTGGCTCACGTCCATAATCCCAGCACTTTGGGAGGCCAAGGTGGGCAGATCACCTGACGTCAGGAGTTTGAGACCAACCTGGTGAAACCCCGTCTCTACTAAAAACAGAAAAAGTTAGCTGGGCATGGCGATGTGCACCTGTAATCCCAGCTATATGGGAGACTGAGGCAGGAGAATCACTTGAGCCTGGGAGGCGGAGGTTGCAGTGAGCTGAGATCCCACAATTGCACTCCAGCCCGGGCAACAAGAGGGCAATTCCATCTCAAAATAAATGAATAAAGAAGTGCATTTTTTTTTTGAGATGGAGTTTTGCTCCGTTGCCCAGGCTGGAGTGCAGTGGCACGATCTTGTCTCACGGAAACCTCCGCCTCCTGCGTTCAAGCAATTCTCTGGCCTCAGCCTCCTGAGTAGCTGGGATTACAAGCAGCTGCTACTGTGGCTGGCTAATTTTTGTATTTTTAGTAGTGGGGTTGGGGTGGGTTTCAACAGTGTTGGCCAGGTTGGTCTTGAACTCCTGACCTTGTGATCCACCCACCTCAGCCTCCCAAAGTGCTAGGATTACAATAAAAGCATTTTTGACAGCGTGGGTGGAGAGCTAGTTCCATTTCCTCTTCACCTGTGCTGTGAGGTGAGCAACACAGATTCAGGTAGTTTAAGTTCTGAGAGAAATCAGGGCAGCCTCACAGGGTGGCTCGCATGCTCTCCGGGCAGTGGCCTGGATGCTGAGTGGGAGCCTCCCCTGCCCTTCTCAGCTATGTGGCCTTGGGCAAGTGGCTTAATTCCTTCTGCCTCAATTTTCTCCACTGAGGGTAAGAGCAGTACTCATTTCATGGCTCTTGTGAGAGCTGAATGAGGTAATCTGTGTGGAGAGCCCAGAATGGGACCTGACTCCCAGGAAGCACTTGGTCCATTTGTCGTGCCTGGCTGTTAACACAGCCGAGTCCCTGGGTAGGTTTGGCTGGGCAGAGGGCAAAGCTGTGGCCTGCCGGGTCTGTTGCTCAGCCACCCATGGGTCCCAGCTTGCTGGCGTTGTGGGTCACAGGAGAGGTAAACCAGGCGCCCTGGCAGCAGGCGTGGTGGGGAGGGCAGGTCGGAGTCACGGGGCTTTCCACTGCCATGGTAAAACGGCCCTCGATCTCTGTGAGGCTGAGCACCCTAGCCTGGGCAGGACGCTTCCCTCCGTCTTCTTTTCCGTGCCTCCGTTGAGGGCGTTTGCGTTTGCCTCGGCATTCTGTGGTTCGAGAGCTCCATCTTGTCATGGCCCCGTCATCTTTTTTCAGTGACGGCCCAGATGCTCCTTGTTGGTTCTGTGCTTCTGTTCGTTTGACCCTTACATTTTTGCTCGTAACATTTCTGACCTTCTAAGATAGAAAACATGGAAGGATCTGAAGGCTTTCTTTGCTGACAGTAGATGCTTGATTTCAACACAAACTGTTACCTTTGACTTTTCTTTTCTATGAGAAAAATAAACATTTTTGCTTCCTGAGAACTTCAAGCGTTGCTGTATTAGAGTGTGGTAAACCTTCTAGAAAGTCCATCTATTTAAGTGCATGCATACGTGTCCGCTGCTTTATCCCCAAACGGTGTGTAACGTGAACATCAGCGTTCAACTGTCATGCCGTCCCTTTGGAAAGACAGACTTATTCATTCGATTCCGTTATGCCAGCCCCTGTTTTA